GCTTACCTCCATCTATATAGTGTTTCCGTCTTCATAACACTTACCTGTTTCAGGTTAAGAAGGTATGCTTATTCTAGTGGACATGATTCAAACAGCAGCTGTCATTCACTGAGTGGTATTTTGGCTATCCTTGCCTAGATTTTAGGTAGCAGTGTGGCTTTTTTGTCGTCGCATAACTCGTGAAATCTGTCAAAGGATTCTGGGAGATTTTTTTCTTTTTTCAACTAAAATTATAATTTGCTCTTATAATTAGCCAGGGAATAAAGCCAATCAGAAATGTTGAAATATTTTAAATGTATATTCCCGATCTCAGACACAAAGTACCTTCATTTTCAGCCTCTTGTCCAGATCCAGGTATTCCTTATCAAGGGAAAAGAATTGATCAAGATTTTCGTCATGGCCACACAGTGCGATTCACTTGTCCCAGAGATTACGTCATAGAGGGTGCAGCGGCAATTAAATGTACAGATGGTCGATGGAACAGTACAAAGCAAAGGTAAATGACCGGTGTTGAAAAGACTAAACTAGGGTTGAAAAACACAAGTTAAAGTCTTAGAGCAGCTTGTCAAATGTGTAAAATCTAGTACGTTATAATTAATAAATGAACCCCTTTATAAAATGTAGATTAACTTGTGCTTCATATACAGGATTACATCCAACAGCTGTAATACTGATCACTCTTAGCTGGGATAGGCTACGGAAATAGTGGTTGTGTTCTCTCTATACCATCTGTTTTCATGTCTTTCCTCGTACAACAAAAAAACTCGTAGTCATAAGGCAACAAAACAACTTTTAGTCATGCGTCATTTAGTCATTAGAGATCAGCTCCTGAGAAGGACGAGAAAAAACAAAAGTTTATGGTATGGTCAAAACACGTGAAAACAGATATCATCTTGATCTTCTACAAGAAAATGTGACCTCTCCTGATAGGTTTTAGACAACCATTAAAAAATTATTTGGCACAAACACCACAAAATACCCTGGGTCCGCCCTTGCTGTAAATGGATCGTAAAATCACGGATAAGGGTATCATCGCCGACACTTTCTGCAACGTCTGCACTGGAGTCGTGTGCACTTTAAAGAAGAAGTCCATTCCACTCTGCGACCTTGTCTGGAAAAGGTCTGCCATGTGTAATATTCCAACCACTTTGAATTAGAGCAGTTCCCGAAGGAGAAATCATGATGACGAGAGAGCTTAAACGAAACAAGTTATGTTAAAGTTATACCACGGTGACCATTAAAACTCTCGATCATCATTATCCAAAATTCCTCTAACAATATCCAAAATACTCGAGGAAGTGGTACGATATATATATTGAATACTTCATGGAAAGTGCGGGCGTACGGTACGTTTAGGTAGGAATTATTGACGTATCAGAAATGGAAAGAGTGAGCGCAGCAAACGAGTGAGTTCCTGATACGAAAACGAGTGCGTAAATACCGTACAAAGCACTTTCCATGTAGTATTATGTTTATTTGTGTATATGTATACTGAGACATTCGTCATTTTGCCACCCTTTTATTTCAAATCTTTCTAAAATGCTAATGAATGCTTTGCCGCTAGACTACCCGAAAAAATGACCACGTAACGCTTGATAAAATCAATAATAAGGGTAAGGATATGAGGCAATCCAGGAAATACAAGTAAAGTTAATAGATGTTTTTTTTTTCTGAATTCACAATCTGAAAAATGAATGAATTTGAGTAAACTGGCTAGCTTGAATATAAACAGAAGAAAAAATAGCTCCGATAAAAAGTACAACTGAAGCTTAGTACGTCTTTTTCCGTTTTTACACTTCTGCTGTTGTCTTTGCCGGCTCTATACAATTTTCCTCAACGAAAGTGAAATATACAAAACGATACAAAACTACTCCACCCCAATTTCTGTGAAAAACATCCTTCATCCCTTTGATTGGCTAGAACTCATTTACATATGAAAATTACGACATATAGCTTTTCAGTGTGTGTAAATAATTAACATTTGATGAATGAGGCTGAGTATCTTATGAAGAATTATGGAGATCGAGGAGGGTGTTGCCCGAGGCGGATAACACCCTCCGAGATCTCCATAATTCTTCATATGATACGAAAGCCGAAATCAATAATTGTTTTATTATTCATTCAAAATAATTCCTACTTTAAAAACATGGCTAAAACATGCTAACCTCCATCGATCCATCGATGTTAAGTTCATCTTCGATAGTGCACGTTTAGGTTTGTCCAGCTCCTCAAATATTCTGCAAATAGCAGATGTCGCCCTTCGAGTTGTTTTCCCACTGTTCTTGCCATGTTTTTAGCTATGTTTTCGCCTTTTCTTACTCTTGAAACGAGTGAAATGTCCGCCATTTTTCAAGTTCACAATCAAAACAACTCAACCTCGTCCCCAGGTCTTCTCGGGTAACGGTGCCTTAACCTGCGAAAACGCTGCATTTTTGACGTCATTTCCTCGTTAAACACAAAATTCTTCCAAATTTGGTCATCAGTTACTGTTATGGTGAATTAAACGAGTGCTTTTAGCCAATCAGAATCGGGAAAATATTTTGAATGAATAATAAAGGTAATTAATGTCTCATCTGGACCAGAATGGCTCGCTCTCTTACTTTCAGTATGACTTCCGTCGTAAACGCGCTGGACCCCCTTAAAAAACTTCCGTTCTAAGGAATCCATGGAACAGAACTGGAATGGTTCACTGATTACTTTTTTAAATTTGTAAATCGCAAGCTGTTCAGTGTGAAGGTGTGTTATTAGAGCGATTTTACTTGACCCGTGAAACAGTAAATAAGAATTAGTGCAAAAGAGCACAAATAAACAAAAGAAGACAATGGAATTAGTGAATAATAGTGCGTAGTATTCTACTACCAATTACACGGGTTAAATAAAATCACTCTATAAGCTCAACCATTTTTTACAGGTGGCCCTAGGGGAGTATTTTGGGGCCTGTTTTATTCATTTTCAACTATTTTACTCTTCAGCTCAAGACATTGATACGATCCAAAAAAAAACTCAACGAAGACATTAACAAAACTATTTACGTCTCTGATTAGAAGAAAACGAACTGATAATCAACCTATAAAAATTCATTGCAAGACTGAGACTATGCTTTTCGTAAATTCAAAGGAACCACCTTCAAGGATTAAACGAACTTTAAACATCTCTGTTAAAGGGGCATGCATCAACAATTCGTTTTCCTACAAGAACCTGGGCATTGACCTACACTCAAAAATGAGTTAAGCTTCTAAGATCAATCCGCCCTTTAATGGACCTAAAATACGCTGAAACAATATATCTATCAAACTATAATATGATTCTACCCCAAATTTTCACATACTGCAGATCACGTGGTCTTGGTTGGTAAGAAAGCCGAAAAAGTCTGATGAGGAATATCGAACAACGAAGTTTGAAAATCATTGGGAACAATTAGAGCTTCCATCAGACAAAAACATAATTAAATGCAAAAGCGGTCAACTGGTCTTTGACTATCTTCAAAATATTATTTGCTCTACCTTTATCGTATTTTACAGACTGAATCATTCTAAGATTACAAGAAACAATGGTTTTTATAAAAAAAAATTACCGAAAGTCCGCCTCGAATATGGAAAAAAGCGGAGATCTTATTATCAACTATTTAGTATGAAGGAGCGAAAATTTTTATCATGCACTCTCAATTGGACTTCTATCCTAACTCTCAGGCGCATTTTTTTTCGGGGAAAAGGGGAAAAAAGAACGCCTGATACATTTACTTCTCGAGTCGTCTACCGCCCCTTAACTAAGGTATCTGTCAACGTTTGTGTTATTGTCATGTGTCAGATTGTACCGGAAATTCCAGCGGTTTGCAGCGAAGGCGGCTATTATCGAAATGATGTTTATCTACCCGCGTTACAGTCAAGCGGTGAATGTCACGTTAAGGTCTCGGTATAGGAAAACGAGGTGCCCAGAGAAAAAAAATCTAGTCGCGCGAGTATTTTCGCTACAAAGGCAAGTTATATATCAAATTAAAGCTAAAAGACTAAATTACCTTATAAAAGATTTTATTTCATCGAATTTAAAAAGGCGCTTAAGTTTTTTGCTCTCGTACTCAGAGGTATCGAGTTTACTGCTGAAGATCCAGCCCTTTCGCGTTGTTAAATATTCACTTCCTTTTTATTGCATCTGATACAGATAAAAAGACCTAAAAAAGGGTGTGAGGAAATTTGCAGATGTCTCGTATTAGCGGAATTATTGCATTTCAAACTAAAAAGTCGAATCTCGAGCGCGATTTACGCAAAGAAACTGACATAAAATGAGTTACAAAGGGAAATCGGAAAATTCCTCACACCCTTTTTTAGGTCTTTTATCTGTCAATCAGATGTAATAAAAAGGAAGTGAATATTTAACAAGGCGAAAGGCCTGGAGCTTCAGCAGTAAACTCTATACCCCTGAGTTCGAGAGCGAAAAACTTAAGCGCCTTTTGAAATTCGATGAAATAAAATCTTTTATAAGGTAATTTAGTCTTTTAGCTTTAATTTGATATATAACTTGCCTTTAGAGCGAAAATACTCGCGCGACTAGAATTTTTTTCTGTGGGCACCTCGTTTTCCTTTACCGAGACCTTAAGTTGATACAGTAGTCGTAAGCCAAAACATCACAGATTTTGAAGACCAAGTTAGCACTGCTGTTATTGGGAATCTTGCCTTATCGTTGCCGTGTGGTAGCTTAGTTCAAACAGTACTAGTAAAGTCAAACAAATTAATAATTCATTGAAAACATTGGTGGCGCAACCGAATTCTGTATTTTACTGGAAGTGGTCAAAAGTAAAGGAATTGATTCTGCGGCAAAAAGTCTTTGATGGTTTTCCAATCCGCATGGTTTTCCGGTTCGCAAACGAGCGGGTTTAAAATCGTCAATAAGTAATTTTTTACACACTTTCACGAAGTTGTAGTCGATCGGAAATCAAAGACAACAATTCTGCCCACGGGAACAAGAAAGCATCGGAGAAGAAATAGCAGATATCCTTACCGGCCGCAGCAGATAACAACTCGTCCTCATCTCAGCTGTCAATGGTTTTCTCTTCAGTGTCATCTCGTGGTTTCTGTCATGAAGAGACGAAGGTGACCATAAGGTAACAAAACCTATCTAATAGCTCCGGAAGTCAGATATGTTGCTTGACCGATGGGTGTAGGGCTCCAAAGGATCTTTTGTTCTCCGACCAATCAGACAAAAGTCCAGATTCTGGATTACGGGCAGACGACGCGTAAAGTAAATAAATCCGGCGTCCCCGTCCCCTCGTCTTCCAAACAAAATGGGAAGAAGGACTGCCTGATTGCAGGTTAGACTTTTATTCAAGAAAACCATTACTAGGTAATCTACCAAACGTTTACAGGACCCCACTGATAGCAGTTTTTACACACTGAATACACTGATAGGTTTTGTCGGTTTCCTTAGATCCTGTTGAAATATTCCTTATTTCAATTCTTCTTTCTGTCATTATCATTATCAGTATCATTTTTAAGAATAGTCATTTCACGCCTTGCGGACACCTCGATAGTACAGGAGGCAGCCAGAAGGCAGCCGAATCCCCGGCAAAAGTTAGTAACGATTGAGCGAAACATACTCATTTTTAGATTCTCAACATCACAATTATTGTTTAAACACTCGCTAACAAGAGCCCTGAACTGCCAATTTCCAACATTCATACACACTTATAAAACATTTCACAGTATTTATAAAATATTTCATAGTAGTCGTTTTGGCTGGATTTACGATGGTTTTTCTTCGCCTCAATGGAAAATGCAGCAAATGTTAATACATGTTACCAATCTTGTGCAAAAAATTGAGAAACTTCTTCTTGTATCCCGTTATTTAAAATGTTCTTCATGAAGTACATTACCTTGCGCTCCCTGTGGAGTCTGCAGTAAAAACAATTGATTTTATATAACATTGAACTACTGTATTGACCTCCATAGCACCATGTGCTGAACCCACGGATCCAAAACATGGCTTGAAGATGGATCGAGATTTCAGACACGGACGCTCTGTAAGGTTTTACTGCTATAGTGGATATCAAAGAGTCGGGGTTACCTCCATTACGTGCAACGATGGTAAATGGGATGGCTTGGTTCCACTGTGTAAAGGTTAGGAACATTGTATTTTCGTACTTGATTTTATTAGTTGGTGACAAGGATTAACTGGGATAGAAAATATTCTCAGCCACCATCTTGGATCTATAAATAGATAGAAAATTTGGATCCCCCTCTCCCAAATCAAAGATGGGAAAATGGCGCGTTTTGGCTTTCGAACGGATTCATCCTCGACTTGAGCGATGGGGGTTTGCTGTTCCATTTTATTCTGTCCAAGATTGCAGGTAGGAAAACGACAGGTCAATAATGTTATGAAGCAAATTGTTTTGATTACACCAATAGAGAGGAGAAGTCCTTACGTCAAGTTGCCAAGGTAGCAATTTTTCTGGATGACAACAACCCGAAAATATCACTTAAAAAGTGAATTCACACTGTTTCAAACTTCATCGCTCTTATTCAATTTCATTTTTTGTCAAATATTGGCGAAATGGTCTGGGTTTGAATCCAAAAGGACCGTATCTACGTTTAGAAAAAGAGAATTTTTGTGTTGTGTTCACCTACTCCACTGAATCGGGCGCATAAAAATTAGGAAGTGTCATGTGATTGTCGCAGTCGTGCAGCGACGGCTAAGAAATGTACAGAAGCATGATGCACGTGCGGAATTGTTGTTTTGCTAATAGAAACCTATTGTTTTTTTGCCGTTCTCGTTGCCGTCGCCGTCGACGTTGGTTAAGCTCCCAATTGTTGTGATCCAGCCATAGTAACGTGACGACTTCTCCTACTTCAATCATTGCTGATTTGGTAAAAATTCCTAGATTATATTTTATCTACTTATTGTATTGTGTCTCTTTTTGTATCACCATTTTCTTCTTAGTATAGTATCTACTTAATTAATATATTTTTTCATACTATCAGGGCAAGGTATTAGGTCAACTATCATTTGCCGTTTTTCTCCTTTTCTCTTACTTACTTTTATTTGTGAAATTGTTAGATTTGGGGAAAAATAAACATAACAAAAAAGATCTAATTATCCGATTTCGTACACAACAAACTCTAGGTATTTGTGGAAGACCCCGTACCTCATCCAGGGTTCAGTTACACGGAAGCCGTTATCTCCATGGAGACGAGGTTACATTTTCCTGCCCTAGAAATTACGATTTGTTTGGGAAAGCCAAATTGCGATGTATGGACCGAGCATGGGATTCCATAGCACCAGACTGTAAAGGTAGGATTTCATTCTCGCTGATTCCTCTAAGAAAGCGAGTTTCGTTCTAGGAACGCCTCATCCACTGAAATAAAAGGGAAACTCTTCGTTGTTGTTGTCGTTTTTGTTGTTCTTGCTCGTCCCTGAAGAAAACCGGATATAAGGAAGGTCACTCACTGTTTTATCTACTATCCTGCTCGGGTATTGCAGCACTATAGCAAAAGGGAATTAAGAAGTCTGTATAAGTTACCTTACTACAAACTAAGAATCCCGAACTATTTTGTTTGGCTATATTTCTCATCTCTAAAAATGAGAATTCCGCCTAGTATTTTAAGAGGTTGAATATTGTGGGGGAGGACAAGTTCTAAAAGAGTGGAAAGCGGAAGAAATAGAGGGAAATTACGCAAAAATGCTTAATATTTCGCGATAGAAAAAGATCTAAAGGAGGAAGCCAAGGAAAACGGGGAGGGAGCCGGTAATGCCAGGTACGGAAGGCGGGAGACTTGAACCCCCTCTCTCTCTACACAATGCTGGCTACAGCAGCAGTAAGTCCAGTATTTCTCTTTTAAATGCTAATAAACACTTAATGACTGGTCCCGGAAGAAACCTTTAATTTTGTTTCCCTCGAATCAGTCAGTGTCTCAAACATTGAGATTCGAGGGAAACAAAATTAACTGTTTTCCGAGGGATTAGTCTTTAAGTGATTTGTTATATAAGTAGCTGGATATTTTGAAGCTGGAAATTCATTAACCCTCGCTGTAAACGGTGTTCCTCGGTCAACATTCGCCGGTAACAGTGCACTGTTACCCTGTGACTTATAGATTTTGCAATAATGCCCGTTCAGAGATTTTGGCGGGAAACAGTTTCATTGTTAGATGTCATGGCAGCTCGAAGTAATCAATGAGAGCGCGCGCTGTTGGGAAAAAATTTTCAGCTATATAACAAGAATTCTTATTGCTTTTTCTAAGATAAATGTTGATAAAAAGACTTAATCCCTTTTAGCCCGTTGCACGCTTTTGGATCCACCAGAACATGGCTTTTATATGAAAGGTTTTAGTAATAAAGATGACAAGATAAAAAATGGTGAGAAGATACGTTACGGCTGCAACGCAACTTATACCTTGGTAGGGAATAGTACCCAGGAATGCAATGATGGCCGATGGACCAACTCAACACCATCGTGTAAAGGTTTGACAGTCTGATTACCTAAAAATTGCTGACCTTCTTGTCCTATTTTTTTTAAAACTGACAAGCTGATGTTGTAACCTGAGAAATTAGAGTTACTTCGAAGGATATTTTGTCTAAAAAAAGTTGACAAAACGATTTTTCGCAGTTAATATTGTGATTGCTGTCACTGAGATCGAGAGATATACCCTCCAATGAAATCCCAAATCTACGATTGATTTTTCAGAACAATAATAATAATAATAATAATAATAATAACAATAATAATAATTTAAACATATTTATACAGGATCAGTTGATAGTTTTGAGGCAGCTTTGAAGTAGATGATCCTCGCTGCTCGTCTTTGTAGTCTTTCAATCTTGTCACAGTTTCCTTGTCCAAATTCATGCCACACAGAATCACAATAATCTAGAACTGGGAGGACCATGAACTGAAAGATCATCATCGATAAAGGCCGATCATCTAATGGCTAAGAGTTGGGCTTTAGCTGGCGGTTCCGCTGCAAATTTAGAATGCAATACAGACTTTTATATGCGGAAACCGTTCTTACCATAGCGTAATCTATTGCCGTCCCACATTGCAGCCTCCTGTTTACCTCCTGCTGGAATAAAACACGGTGTTCACATCGGTAATGACTATGGTCACGGAAAAACAGTTCGATTCCAGTGTGATCGTGAATACACCCTTGAAGGCAGGGCTCGAGTGACTTGTACTGATGGAAAATGGGACTCTGACCCACCCAACTGTAAAGGTATCTATTATAGGAGTGCGTTTAAAGTGAATGCACATATTACTGACCTCGTTTTGCTCTAATGTTGCTGATTATTTCATATCTTCTTACCTGAAGATTTTAAGGAGTGTGCTTCAGGAAGAAACAATCTACTCTACTTATTGCTAAATCACCCTTTGATACGAGCCCAAACCACCTCCTCTCCACCCTCGACTAGGAAAGGCTATCTCTTCGGCGAGAGAAACAGGAAGCCTTAAGGATGTATAAAACTATGAATGACCTTGCTCCGGAATATCCACAAAGTCTTTTCTCTCAGCGTCATTCTCCTAACAACTTAAGAAACTCTGAAGGAAGGCTGACCCTGTCCAAACCAAGCACCAATTATTTGAAACGAAGCTTCTCTTACAGTGGGGCCCTGTTATGGAATAACATGCCCAAAAGCTTAAAAATGCTGCATCTGTTAAACATTTTAACCGAAATACCACAGATTCCCCCACGGCAATCGTATAAAGCAGCTGTAATTAGTTTTAGTTTTAAACTTAAGCTTAACCAATGATTTTCCGTGTATAAATAAAGATTTATACATCTGACTGAATTTATGAAACCATTGCTGCAGTGAGTGTCTACAGGTCCTATGCTAAGTTTGTCCTTGGTACAAAGACTTTGACCCTCCCCACCCAGGACAATGGGTGACTATCTGTGCCGCCCATTGAGCTCTGCAATTGTCATGATAATCATTCTCAGCTAAGGCCTGATTCAGCCGGCTAGGGTAAATTAAGAACAAGGTATATGCCAGTCAAAGCCTCTACTGATAACTACTGCTTACCAAAGGGGTTGTTTCAAAACAGCCCCCTTCCTACCCCAATAGTTTTGACCCTTAGGCCTGATCCACCCACCCACTGTTACGGCAGCCCCTGGGCATAACTATATCTACCCGATAAAGTTGTAAATATAGTTTATTTTATGTGAAGACATAATTTTTTTTTCTTGTGACGTATTTATTTCACAGTTTTGCGTTTAAATTATACAATCAAACTCTTTCAACGAAGACCAGTGCGTTAATTACTTGTTGTAGAGTAACTTCATTCATCTTTTTTTGTTGTTGTTCTAGACATCAACGAATGTTCTACCAACTCTCATAGCTGTGACGTAAATGCGGTGTGCGGCAATACTCTGGGTTCTTACACATGCGCTTGCAAACCAGGATACTCGGGTAATGGAAGAACATGCTCTGGTAAGTTGAATAGTGTAATTAAAAAACAAAGTGTTTATGCTAAATTTGTCTTTAGCAGTATACTGAAGCAAGTACCCCACGCAAAAACTCACAAAATCTGATGACACTATTGTGTGTAACCCAGTTAAATAGGCAACATTGGGTGTTCATCAAAAAATACATCAAACTAATTATAAAAAGCTAAAATACACCAGGCAGATGAACTTCGAAAAATATATCTATTTGATAAAGTTGTAAGTATAGTTTATTTTAGGTAAAGACCTTATTTTTTTTTTCTTGTACATATTTATTTCACAGTTTTGCGTTTAAATTATACAATCAAACTCTTTCAACGAAGACCAGTGCGTTAATTACTTGTAGTAGAGTAACGTCATTCATCTTTTTTTGTTGTTGTTCTAGACATCAACGAATGTTCTACCAACTCTCATAGCTGTGACGTAAATGCGGTGTGCGGCAATACTCTGGGTTCTTACACATGCGCTTGCAAACCAGGATACTCGGGTAATGGAAGAACATGCTCTGGTAAGTTGAATAGTGTAATTAAAAAACAAAGTGTTTATGCTAAATTTGTCTTTAGCAGTATACTGAAGCAAGTACCCCACGCAAAAACTCACAAAATCTGATGACACTATTGTGTGTAACCCAGTTAAATAGGCAACATTGGGTGTTCATCAAAAAATACATCAAACTAATTATAAAAAGCTAAAATACACCAGGCAGATGAACTTCGAAAAATATATCTATTTGATAAAGTTGTAAGTATAGTTTATTTTAGGTAAAGACCTTATTTTTTTTTTCTTGTACATATTTATTTCACAGTTTTGCGTTTAAATTATACAATCAAACTCTTTCAACGAAGACCAGTGCGTTAATTACTTGTAGTAGAGTAACGTCATTCATCTTTTTTTGTTGTTGTTCTAGACATCAACGAATGTTCTACCAACTCTCATAGCTGTGACGTAAATGCGGTGTGCGGCAATACTCTGGGTTCTTACACATGCGCTTGCAAACCAGGATACTCGGGTAATGGAAGAACATGCTCTGGTAAGTTGAATAGTGTAATTTAAAAACAAAGTGTTTATGCTAAATTTGTCTTTAGCAGTATACTGAAGCAAGTACCCCACGCAAAAACTCACAAAATCTGATGACACTATTGTGTGTAACCCAGTTAAACAGGCAACGATGGGTGTTCATAAAAAATACATCAAACTAAAAGCTAAAATACACCAGATGAATTTCTAAAAATATATCTATTCCTTAAAGTTGTAAATATAGTTTATTTTATGTGAAGACATAATTTGTTTTCTTGTAACGTATTTATTTCACAGTTTTGCGTTTGAATTATACAATATCAAACTCTTTTAACGTAGACCAGTGTGTTTTTACTTCTAGTAGAGTAACTTCATTCATCTTTTTTTTTTGTTTCAGACATCAACGAATGTTCTTCCAACTCTCATAGCTGTGACGTAAATGCGATGTGTGGCAATACTCTGGGTTCTTACACATGCGCTTGCAAACCAGGATACTCGGGTAATGGAAGAACATGCTCTGGTAAGTTGAATAGTGTAATTTAAAAACAAAGTGTTCATGCTAAATTTGCCTTTAGCAGTATGTGAAGCAATTACCCCACGCAAAAACTCACAAAATCTGATGACACTATTGTGTGTAACCCAGTTAAACAGGCAAAGATGGGTAACCATAAAAAAATACATCAAACTAAAAAGCTAAAATACACCTGATGAATTTCTAAAAATATATCTATTGGATAAAGTAGTAAATATAGTTTATTTTATGTGAAGACATAATTTTTTTCTTGTAATGTATTCAATGTATATTTATGGATTGGTTTCTCAAAGATATTACCTTGCAAGCTACTCCAAAATTCGAGTGCAAATATAATAAAAATTATGTATGTATGCAAACTTCTAGCTTTAAAATTTTTGTAATGGCAACAACATGTTTGTATGTAGATATCGACGAATGCACTACCAACTCTCACAGCTGTGACGTCAATGCGGTGTGTAGTAATACCGTGGGATCTTACGCATGCGCATGTAAAGCAGGATTCACAGGAGATGGAAACACCTGCACTGGTGAGCCGTTTAAGTCTAATTGAATATGTTTGTTTGATATGTTTGTTTCTGAGTAAACCGGCGACAACAGCAATACAACACTCTTTATTTGTGCTCTTCTTGCCCTTCCAATAAAATTTTCGTTTACATGGGAAAAAATTACAGTAATGGCCGCTTGGAGTAAGCGAACAGACAAGCAATGTCAAGCAGTCAGATTTTGTACGCAATAAATAAAAATAAAATACAGGCGCCGGTTGCGCAAACTCTGGAAAGCGCTATCCAACGGATAAATCACTCTTCAGTAGATAAGTATAAGGTAACTAATCGCGGTATCCACTGGATAGAGATTTATCGAGTGGATACGGTTATGCAAACGTTACGGCTGCAACGCAACTTATACCTTGGCAGGGAATAGTACCCAGGAATGTAATGATGGCCGATGGACTAACTCAACACCATCGTGTAACGGTTTGACAGTGGGACTGCCCTAACAGTGGGTGGGTGGATAAGGCCTGGGGGTCAAAACTAGAAGGGTAGGAGAGGGCTGTTTTGACACAACCCCTTCAGTAAGCAGCAATGTTCAGTAGAGGCTTCGACTGGCAATACCTTGTTCTTAATTTGCCCTAGCCAGCTGAATCAGGCCTCTGCTGAGAATAATTATCATGACAATTGCAGAGCTCAGTGGGAAGCGCAGATAGTCACCCATTGTCCTGGATGGGGAGGGTCAAAGGGTGAGAAATAACATTATAAATTTTTATTATATAGACACGAGTGTTTTACTGGAAAATATACCACTCGTAAAATTCATAAAAACTACATCCGGGACCCGAGTGGTTTATTTTCCATAATCTCACACGTGAGTTTATCGATGATTTTATTGATATCAAGTTTGTGTCTTAAATTGTACTTGAATTTGTTGGTGTATCATCGAAACATCTTCGGGTCTTCCTCGAAAGTCTTCGGAAATCTTCGGACATCTTCGGAAATTTTCGGAAATTCTCGGAAAATGTTCGGGAACGTTTGCCTGGCCTTCGAAAAATTTTGGAAAAATCTTCGGAAATCTTCGGAAGGTGGTCGGAAATCTTCGGAAAATCGTCAAAAACGCCGTCATCAGCAGGTCTATATAATAAAAAGAACATTACACGGCGGCTTGAAGATATGAATTTTATTTTCTCGTGGCAAAAACAATATTTTACGAACGAGCGCAGCGAGTGAGTAAAATATTGTTTTGCCACTCGAAAATAAAATTCATATCTTCGCGCCACCATGTAATATCCTCTATATATTAAACTAAATGAGAAATTTAGCAGACTTCAAGGCTGTTTAAATCTAGAGGTAATAGTAAGCGTGTCAATATATTCATCCTCAAACAATAGAATATCTAAAAGTTGTCGATGAATTGACGACTTGAATTTATGTTTTGATAAAATGTTCGACAATTGTTCATCTGTTTTGATTTCCATTTATTTGCTGATGATTCTAATCTATTTTATGCCCATAGTGATTTACAGCATCTTGAGCAAAATGTTAATCGAGAACTCAGTGAAAGTAGCCTATGGCTTCGTGCCAACAAACTAGCCAATTAATCAACAAAAAAGTGTTAAGTACCTTGGCATTCTCATAGACTGTCATCTCAACTGGAAAGAACAAATCCAACAAATTTCAAAAAAATGTATCTAGGGTATTGGTGTCCTATGTAAGATTAGACATTTTGTTGATAGGAAAACATTAGTTCAGTTATACCATGCGATTATTCCTTCTTTTCTCTGCTATGGCTGTATAGTTTGGGTCAATACTTATGACCATAACATTAAACAACTTCAAACAATACAAAGGAAAACAATCCGTTTAATTACTTTCTCCAATTTCGATGTACATACAAGTCCTTTGTTTGCTAAGCTTAAAATCTTCTTAAACTTCAAGATCATATTAAGCTTCAAACTCTCTTTTTTACGCACCAATTTAACACTGGCAAACTACCTAAGATCTTTGATTCGTTTTGTGTTAAAACATCCAGTAAACATAATGTAAATACTCGCTTTCCATCTAGATCTACTTTCTACCTTCCAAAAATTCGAACAAATTATGGCAAATTTAATATTCGATTTAATGGACCTAAATTATGGAATGAACTCGATGAAAGATTCAAGTGTCGTACTTCCAATCAATATAAAAAAGAACTAACTTCGCATTTCATTAGTCTCTATTAATCTTTACTGATATTTTGATGGTTTACATTTATTCATTTATTTATTTTTTGTTTTGTTCTGTATATTTACTTTTGTGCCAAGTTATGATATTTATGTGTACCAATGTTTTTGTGGTGCCTCTTTTCTGACTTTCACAGTTTTAATTATCATAATTACGGTCACCCAACTAGTTTAGCGTTTTAGTTATTTTGGGTGTCCCACTACTGTATGTACTGTTTATTTATTAATTGATAATTATATTCTTTTAAATCATTTTAGTTGTCTACAGTAGTAGAAGTAAACTGTTGTTGTCGATAATAAACTAATATTAAGAGGAATACAATTCCACGCCTTAGCACCAGAGCAAGAAAACGACTTAATTCTCTGCTGTTCTCGAATTTTGTATGGCGAAAGTGCCAACAATGACATTCCTTGCAAAAAGCTAATAAACATTGACCAAAACTGAACAAATATTCTAATTAATTAACATGAATAGAACATGACAGATTGTAAATAATATACCAGGTAAAACTGAATAAAAAAAATTGGAAATATTATTAGTACAGGTCACATCATCTGATTTAATCATCTGATTACAAATCGCGACAAAGTTATTACAAATTACGACTCCTTCGTTATTACAAACAAGAACGCTTTTACAGCGGGTTTAGCCTCGCTTGCTCGGAGATTAGATCGAGAAATGAGGAGGCGATTAATTCTTCACGAAGCAGGATTAACTCGCTAAAGGTTTTCTACTTCCTACATTATCGAGGTCGATACGTTTTATTTGTTTCTGAATTGATTTAGTACGCGTGTTAGCGACGACCGAAAATACGTCTGCGGTCGCAGGCTAAACGCGTGTATAAATACACGAAAATTCAAAGGGCCTCGATTCCAGAGAAATTACATCGTTGCCAGAGATAAAAAAAAAATGATTTACATGGCACGTCATTTCAATCATCGCCGAAAATGAACCGCATGCTCATCACAAGACCATTTGTATACAATGAAAGATTCTTATTTTTTTTTCCGACCACTCAGTAGTGTTCACTTGCTCCAAGGTAATCAACGCTTTGAAGCGATATAATTCGTGGGCTGACACGTTTCGGAAAAGTCCTAAGTTTAATCGTTCCTGAGCTTTCTTCGCAAAACATGCGTGGCTTCGATCAAAGATTCTTATTCCCAGTCTCCACGGTCTCCGCTACGAACGCCTGGCACAGTGACCCCCTTTTGTGTCATAAGTACGAAGAAAAACGCGTTGCAGATTGTGAGTCTCGCTGCTTACGCAAGCGTGACTAATTACGACAAAGTTCGCACAATTTGCGACAATTATTACAAATTACGGCAGAACAATCACAATCACAAGGGGTTCGGTTCGATGAGGGGGAGCAGAATATTGCACACTCAATGTCGAAATGCACTTTCTCATAAAGAGTATTAAGTGGCTGTCCACCTAAGAGCGGTCCGGCGAGTTTGGGATCGTCAGTAAACCTTCCCTTTATTTTTTGTGGGTGAAAAGGACTTAATGAGGAATGATTAAAATCGAGCTAATTTTTTTCAAAATCTTTTTCTGTGATTCGCTACAGCACAAAACTTCTTTCCTGTCTGAGAGCGCTTTTTCAACTTTATTCAATGGCCAAAATTCAGTAATTTTAAAAGCCGCGTTTCTTCGTAACGGATAAAACTCGCGAAATTCTACATAGTACAATGGATTTAGCTGCATTTGACTTGTCCTATGACGGAATCTTGGATAATTTGACGCAAAATAAAATAAAATTAATAAGATCAAAGACGAGCCACTTTGCGGTTTTTTTGCTCCCTTGACACATTCCTTCAAAGTAAAAGCTAAAATCTCCAAAGCGGTACAAAAATCACAGGCAAAATGCACTTCACAGTGAAGACCTTACCCTATTCTGTTAGAAAATAAAGTTAAAGGTGCGGGTATCATTCTGCGTCGGACGCGAACAAGCGTTTTTGAGAGCTCCTTTTGTCAATATTTACCTAATTTTGCACGTTTGGCGCATACACTTAAACTCATATGATAAGGCTGATATTTTTCCCACGGGGCAGAATCTTGGTATGCTTCGTCAAAATAACGCACATTTGTTGTTTTATAAGCCATCTTAGGCCTGTAAACCGGCATAAAATGTCATAAAATACATGTAGGAATTCTTCATCTACTCGTATATTATGCAAATTTAAAAGTTTCTTTACAGCGGGTTGTCGATTTCAGCAATTTTCAAAATCGTAAAGAATACAATTCACTTCTGCTCAAACGAAGCCCTTTTTGAGTTTGGAGTCTCAGCAACTAAAAGGCACTTTAATAAAGACTGAATTCAGCTCAATTTCCTTTTGGGTTTTCTTCATGGTCATATGCTAATTAGGATTGTTGTCACGCAATGAAAGCGGATTTGGAGCAAGCAAGTTGGTGCCTCTTAGTCAATGTAACAGGTGAGCGTTATCACGGTTCATTCGAGGCGATATCACTTAACGAAAGAAAATATTACAGAGAGCGAACTTACTTTGCAGCAGGCTGGGTATTTTGGTAAAACTGCCCAACAAGGTGAAAAAATGTTTGTATGTCCGATACATCGTACGACCCTAGGGAAGGACTGGGGTAATCCAACTGGCCGCACAGAATGCCGATATCCAGACCATAAGAGAAAACAGACTTGTGCCGGTGAAAAGTTACAGAGTGTCGGGGTCAGACGGTAAAAATTGCCGCCAACCGAGAAACTTCCAAAATCTTCTAGTGGTGTCTGCAAATTCGTGGCTAACTGATGGGCGGCTGCAGAAGTTAAGGGGAGGCGGGATAAGGTTTAGCGAGAAAGTCAAGTCTTACCTCACCTCACGAT